GCATAGGCGTTGTTTCCCCATACATTTCAAATATTTTCCACCTTATTTGAAATTTATAAAGTTGGAGTTGTGTTTGGTTATAATTTTTTGCAAATGAGAGAAGAGATCGAGTTGGAAAACATGTTTGGAGCAGTTTTCCAAATTTGAAATCCAACTCCAAATAAACTGAATAATTATTCCGAAAAAAGTGAATAATTCTCATGGCCAGTTTTTTCAACGTCTTTTTTTCCTTTGTACTTGAATGAAATATAGCTGCCAATAAATACTGTTGACCAGAAATGACGATTATTTACACATTCATAACCCTACAATTATTAAGAAATAACCACAACATGAAAAACAAAACAAACTTTCCAATATTAAAGAGTAGTGAAGAAACTAATTGAAAAGATAACAAGAAAAACACTAATTAAACATCCCAGTTACAATAAATACACAAGGGCTCTTCTCGACAGTACTCAAAAACTCTTTTTAAGTGTCTTCGTTACTCAAACTAAAAGATAATTACATGTAACCGTTCATAACATACTCTTCTTCAACTTAGAAGAGGAAACCATCGTTCGCGAAGATCAGAGTGATAAGAAATCATGAAGAGTAGAAGCACAAGGAGAAATCCAACTCCCCAAGGAGTACCACCAGCTCTATGAAATGAGTCTTGTTCAGGCAAAGGAATATTGAAGATGAGAGATTTCTCAAAGTTGGAAAGTAAATGAACAATTAATAGTAGTACTAATGGAGACAACATGAGAAGAAACTTGAATTGATCCATAATGCCTTCAAAGATAGACTCATAGTTGATGTACCATGTAACACTTACAAACATGAAAAGAACAAGAAAGAAGAAACATAAATGTATTGAAGGTGCCTGCGATGATGAGTAATTATCTCCCATTTTTTTCTCAAATTAAAAGGAGATGTGTTATAATTGGAACTTTGATTTGCTTGAAAGTGTGGAAAGAAGAGTTTGATTTTCTTAGAATGAGATTTGTTTGGTTTTGGAATAGAGTTGCTATGGCTTTTTATAAAGGTCTAAATCTCATTTATTGTTGTCTTTTTTCCTTTATTTGACTAGATACTAAATGATTTTTTTTCATTTTTCTTTTAAGCATTTAATTTCTAAACTCACTGTTTCAATTAATTCAAATTCGTGTCATGTATTTTGACTCATTTTTAAAAAAGGAAAATACTCCCTATCGGGAATTTTCATATTTTCAGAGCTCGAACACCATATTTCTAACTAAGAGTATATTGGTCATTGGGATCTAATCCATCCCATCACATTTCAGATAATAGATATTCCTTTTGTCATATTTTTTTTAATTTTTTTTTTACCGTTTTACCCTCAATTAGATAAATTAAGATTACCATCCTTTTTTAAAAAAATTATTAAAATTTGTATCATCTTAAATAATGTCACGAGCGGAGAAAGTGTAATTAATATAGGAGAGGAGACTTTTTTAATTGAGTGTTAGCTTTGGGTGCATTGTACGTAGGATTTTTACTTTTTGACGTTCCATTAATATTTGTCCAACTGGCCGGTGAATTTTTATATGGTCAAGACCTTTATAAAATATAGTACTAATTAAATATGTATCTAACTGACATTTGTCACCGACCAAAACCAGAACTTGACGTGGACCTCTTTATGTATGTATTACTTTTAAATTGTTATAATGTCAGTTTAGTTACACTAAACTTCATTTGTCCTCCCTCAAGTTCTTAGAATTTTCTTTTTTTTTAAAAAAACCTTGATTATTTATATGGCAATTAAATTCATGGAGACATGTTAATCCCTTCGTTGAGACTTTAACTATGTAGATATATATTTAATATGAATATTGAAAGAAAGAATACGTCAATTTGAAGTAAAAGAAAGATAAATTAACGATATCATTCATGTTCATGATCTACTTACTTTGCTTCCATTTTAATTAAGTACTATAAAATTTTCAAAAATCTATAGAGGTCTTCCTAATATTTCTTTTTAGTTTTTCCTAGTTTTAGTATTAGAGGGAGTGGGGAGGGATTTTTGATATACAAATTTTTGAGATGGGTGACCATCTTTATGTCTTTTTTGTGCTTGATGTAAGTTAAGTCACTACTAAAAAAAAAATCTTACTTTCCTGTCGAAAATGTTTAGTGGTTATTTTCACTGATATTTTAATTGAATTGGTGAGGAAAAAAATAATACTATAATATTTACATATGAAAAAAATTAGAAATTATCCTACTATTTTAGTAATTCGCTTTCCACTATGCATTTTTTCAACGTACTAATTCAATAAGAATCATACTTTGTAATACAAAAAATTTCACTTATTCACGATTAAAAAAAAAATCTTTAGTTTTTGCCGTTAATACGCCATACGAAGTTTTGTTAAGATAAGAACACTTCCCTTGCCTTATTTTTGTCACAACTCCTTTATTTTTTTTGTTTTGGTCTTGCCCATTAACAAATGGGATCTTGACACGAATTTTAATGGAGCATTCAGTTAGACTAGATCTACGGTGTGGCTTTTTTTTTTAATCATTTTATATTATATTATACTATACTTATTCCATAACACCAAACCTTGTACATCATAGATTTGATAATTTGATTAATGTAAATAATTCTGTTGTAATTTCCTTAACAAGCACTAGAATCTTATGTATTTAAAATGGTTAAAAAATTCTATCTAAGCTGAACTTATCTATACGTCTCTTGTAATTAGTTGAAGTGGAAAGATGATCGAATAATTTTTAGCGACAATGAATATACACATTAATAAAGGGTGTTAAAATATTTATCGACACTATTTAATTATCATCAGATCTAATATCGCGAGTTCAAAACCAAAAGGAAAACAAATTATCAAAAATTTCAAGAGAACAAACAAATTGAAGATGAAACCAAAAGGATAAAAATGCAGAGCCCCACATGCCTTTCATTAGACGCATGAACGGCTTTAGCTGATGAAGGAAGGCACATGACGACTTGTGCCTTACCTCAAAAAAAAAAAGCGGCTGACATTTTCATTTTTTCATCTAATTATTTTTCATTTTTTTTTTAGCTATTTTAATATTTTTGTTATTTAAACATTTTTCCAATTTCATTATTGTAATATACACCTTGTTTGGATGGTTGTATTGTATTGTTAGTCTAAATACAATGTTTGTTTTGATTATTATTTAAATTTTATTGTATCGTATTGTTTAAATCTATCGGTAATGATACGATACAATATAATTTAAATAACAATCAAAACAAACATTGTATTTAGATACTCTATTATTAGAAATTAATGAACCAAATTATTGTCCACTTCGACCCGACTCCCTTCTAGTCCATTTCGAAGCTTAACGAAGATAAATTCGTGCGGCCCAAAGTTGCAGCACAACAGTCATTATTAGTTGGGCCTGGAGCGGACCACGACATTGTCTCTTCTAGTGAAAATGAAAAAAGCCCGGCCTCTACTTTTGCATATCTATATGTATTACTTCCTTCATTTCAATTCATTTATCCTACTTTCATTTTAATCCGTTTTAAAATGAATGTCTTTTTCCTTTTCTATTATCAATTTAATTTCAATATGATACGTTCAAGACCATATGATTAAAGAATATTTTGATACGTGTTTTTTATTTAAAATCACAATATAAGAATTTTCTTTACTTTCTTAAACATTACTCCCTCCGTCCCTTTTTAGTTGTCCACTTTAGAAATGGCACACAGATTAAGACAACAATGATTAGCACAGTGAAGTTACAATTTTACCCTTATGACAACTTTTCACTTCAAAATTACAACCACTTATTTGAATTCAAGTGAAATAAATTGGAGGGAAACAACATACACTTTTACAATTTTCAAGAAGTGTAAATAAGGGTATAATAGGAAAAAATTTGTTGTCCTTTCTTGATTTGTCAAAATGGACAACTAAATAGGGACAACTAAAAAAGGAAATATGGACAAGTAAATAGGGACGGAGGGAGTATGTCTAAGTCAAAACAAACCAATTGAAACAGAGTGATTACATTATTCTAGGTGATTTAACAAGTTAAATTGCACAACAATTTAATTTGATCCACATAATAAGTGGAAGTGACATCATAAGCATGCTCAAATGTTGTCATGGCTAAATTTAGGCAACACAAACCAATTATGATAACAAGAAGAAATTCAGGTGGTCCAGGTTTAATTGGTTTACATCCTATAGTGGGTTGGTAAAGTGCCCCACTTTGTATTTACACCTACATTCCCATCCTTAATTGAAAACTGAAAAACAAATTAGTTTCTTGTTTCTTGCTACAAAATTAGTGGTTCTTGGAAATTGGAATCTTCCATAATAAAGCCAACAATTCTTAGAGACAAAAGAAAGAAAAAGGTCTGAAAATGTTGAGTGAGTACTTTTCAACCACTACAAGTTGTTAAGTAATACTTACTATTTCCTTAAACCCTCATCCAAACACCTGGCTAGTTTTGGTTCGAGGAACTTAGATATTATTGGAGGCAGTGGCGGAGCCAGAATTTTCAATAAGGGATTCAAAATCTGAAGAAATAAACAAACAAAGTAGTCGAAGGGGGTTCGACATCTACTATATATACCTAAAAAATGTTTTAACCATGTCAAAATAATATAATTTTCCGCCGGAGGGGGTTCGGATGAACCCCCTAGAGATAAGGTGGCTCCACCACTGATTGGAGGTATGAGTATCCGGAAAAAAAAGAAGGAAAGTCACATTTACGATGTGAGACCTTTTTTAAAAATATCGTATAAATTTACCCTAAAATGGACGGTATTGCCACCATGTTATGACTAATTTGGACCGACTTAGCCCAAAGATTATATACGAAATTACACTAATGACCTTAAAATGAATAGTCTTAAAACTTTTGACATCCGCTTGCCTCCAAAATTTGTTGATGTTGAAATTTTGTCTGAGGCAATCGGGGTCAAAAGTTCAAGACGTCTCCTCGAAAACAATTTTTTTTTGTAAAGGAACCTATTATATAAGAGCCAAAGGAATGTCTTATCTTTTTTCCACTTAACACAAAAACTAGCAAAAGGCAAAAACAGAGTTCAAGACACCTCAGTTCCCTCTATAAACATTTCAATATGGTTTCTTGCACCATGAAATATCAGTTGAGATTGGTGTTGTTCTTCATATTATGTGTATTTGGAAATTCAGATACAGAAAAGGACAAAGAAGAGTGTACACAATCATTGATTGGTTTAGCAACATGTTTGCCTTATGTTGGAGGTAATGCACCAGCTCCTACACCAGATTGCTGTACTGGATTGAAACAAGTGTTGAAAGATAGCAAGAAGTGTCTTTGTTTGTTAATTAAGGATAGAAATGATCCTGATTTGGGACTTCAACTCAATGTTACACTTGCTTTAACACTCCCCTCTGTTTGTAAAGCCCCTGCTAACATCTCTGAATGCCCTGGTAAGTACGCCTGTTTTTAGCTCGTAGTTTCAGTATCATTTATTGTATTAGTAAGGGGCGAATGGGGTTGTGTGTACAATAGCTTTCTTATTTTTCTCTCGATGGCTTCAATATAAGTAATTTGAGAGATAAGAGGAAAGCCCCTCTTTCGGATTTAAAGATGTAACACAAATAATAACTCTCTCACTCACCGGGATGTAATGGGTTACTTATAGGTTTTTCTTACTTAGTGGAAAGCATGCTGAACTCTGTCTCAACTAAATGAAATTAACGATCTGAAAGAGTTCACAATCTTATCAATAGGGTTTTAATCTTTTGAAATATGTGGTCAGAAACAAGTCTGTATTTATAAATCATTTTATTAAGAGTAAAATGGAAAGTTTAAATTTTAATTGTTACTTATAAATATAGAAATATGTCATTCTTTTGTTAACAACTCTAAAAGAAATAGTAGCACATAAATTGAGACAGACAGTAGTAAGAAAAACCGTTTTTCATCAAGTTAATCTTTGACACTTTTTGATGATATATGCAGCACTTCTCCACTTGCCTGCAAATTCACCAGATGCTCAAGTATTCTATCAAATTGCTAATAATTCAAGCAGCATTGCTGGCAGTCCATCTGCACATAGCCCCATTCCTTCTGGTAAGTTATACTACTACATTTCTTTTACAAAATTCTGAAAAATTGGTGATTCAGGCGATTCAACTTATACACACTGACAACGTAATACTGTAATTTATACACTATCAATGTATTAATATAACTTGTATCAGGTAACCTGTCTTATTTATATCTAATTATATGATTATTCCACTTTTTTAAAACATTACTTGTAGTTATCGTTTACACGACGTAATAGTGTATAAATTATTCTATATAGTCAAATATATAAAGGTTAAACACTTTTCTGTTTTTGTGTTGCAATTTTTTTTTGCAGTTGGATCTAGTCCCACAGGTGCCCCTGCTGGTGCTCCTAAATCTGCTGGTTGTCATATTGGAAAGAGATGGTTTGGATTAGAAGCAATTGTTGGTGTAGTCCTTCTTTGGTCTTTAACTTCAAATTTCTTCATATGATGAGTCTAATAACCTTATTTGTATCATAATAATTAAATCTATCATTTTGTTAAATGGATGATCCTTGTATTCTTGTGTGTCCTTCTAATTTGATATTTATTCACTAATATTTTCTCAGAGTGATACATTGAGGGCAACTTTGTCCAAAATCTCAAACATTTGCCATTCTTCAACTATATTATAAAGGGTGGCTATATTGTTTTCTTATATTATACATGTCAAAAAAGTGACCAACCCATGCTATTTTTTTTCAATAATACATGCGCTTAAGTTTGATCTACGACATGGGTGAATCACACAAATAAATCATTTTGCGCCACTCCGGCACCTTTTATAACCTAGCTAAACAGTATAATTTTCGAACGAGCATAAGATGGTTCCACCACTGCCTTCACCCATACCCCATGTTTAGGTTATATAGCAGTGGCCTATTATATTGCTCAAACTAGAGTGCAGGTGTTTAATATGAGTGTGAATTTAAAGGTCGGATTTTTTATGATTTAAATTTTAAGATTTGGGGAAACAGATTCATGTATGAATGTTAATAATAATTTAAAAATAGAGTTATAAAATCTAAATTATGAGATGCTATGTAAAAAAAAACTTGAGAAAATATTTATCAAGAAGAGAATCTTGAGGAGATAAAAGGAAAAAGAGAGACATAACAATTTTTATATATAATGTATTCGATCAACCAGATTGGATACGAATCCAACAACCACAATCATATTTTGTCAATACGGATTATACATATACAGTAACCAACACAACAAGTGGGATTTAACTAATTTTTCATTTACAAAATGAGTGATCAAGTTTGGCAGTACTCAACAATTTTAGTTCAAATCCTATATTCATATTTCGTACTAACAATTCATAAAATATAGTAGTAACATTTTACCAATTATACATTTAAAACTCACTAACTTCTAATAACTAAATTCAGAACTCATAAACTTCAAATCTTGAAATCGCTGGCAAACTTCAAATCCTGAATTGGTTTTTGCGAAGTATCTTGCTGCATCTAGTATAGTCAATTTTTTGTTTCACTATTCCCCGATTTACTGAAAGACCAGCCAAGAAATTGCATAGTCCTGTTGTGCCAGGGATAGGCAGAATTGGAGAAGTGGTATATCAGTTTATTAATATCACAATTATTCTAGTGCAATTTCATAAAAAGTTGGAGTATATATAACATTGGCTTCTTGTTTGTAATAGGAAAACTTGAATCAGCAAGCGCAATAATTGGGGAAAAAAACACTGTTTCAATCATCATAAAGGAGTAATAATTAATTGAAAGTTGTCAACATGCATTAATTTTAATAATATCTTTGATTCTTGTCCATGTCAAATACATTGATACTCCTGTGTCTGTTTGTCAATGGAAATAACTTATGCATTTCATCAAACAGCAAAGACTTTATTAATTTAGCATCTTTGCTACTAATATATGTTTTGTACTGTTGTTATAAGAACAGATTTTTTGAATTCTCGGAGTTTACTTATTCCATCATGATTGGAAGCAATGTGGAAAATGAAGAAGCAAAGCCATTGGGAAGATGGTCTGTTTTAGCATATGGTGTAGGGCATGTGCTTAATGATATAACATCAACCTATTGGTACACTTATCTCTTGCTCTATTTGACCAGTATTGGAATGCCTCCAAAGTAAGCATATACACACTCTCTTGCTAATCTTGACTCAGTTTTTTATGAACATCTTGTTGTAGCTAGTTTAGGTAATATTATTCTTTCTTTGTTTTTCTATTCTTTTTTCTTTTTTTTAACCTGAGACGCTTGGTTAAAGGTGGAGGGACTTAATTTTACCATTCCATCACATCTTGGTACCTTTTGTTTTGTTGGAAAAAAATAAATATTAAAAGGACTTAAAGTTGGTATAAAAGAGTTTTGCATAATTTTGCTACTACTTCTTGTGAGTTGTGACAAGGATTTTATGAATTTGATTGGATATTGATGTACACCGAGAAGTTTGGGAAGGGCAGAGTAATGTTTAGAGCATCATTTAATCAGAAGATACCTGATTTCAGGGCTTACAGAGTCTTGGATCGAGTTAGTCTACGAGTGGCTTTAGTACACTGGTTTAAACTTCATTATGAGATTGGTTGATTTGACACTTCATTTGGTTCTATTTCACAGACAAGTTGCAGCACTTGCAATTACAGGGCAATTCACCGATGCAACGATGACCATAATTGCTGGAGAACTGGTATTTTTTTCATTGCAATCCTTCTTTTTTTCTTTCAATGTAATATCATGAGAAGTTGTTAACTTGTTACATATGTTTCACTTCAAGCTTTTGATATGATCGAAAAACTTGCCGATCATGAATTATTTTTGCTTGTTTTTTTTTTTTTCCACAACAGATAGACAGATTTGGACATTTCAAAATATGGCATGCTGTGGGGACTGTTCTTGTCTCTGCTGCATTTTCTTCGTTTTATTGGGGCGTTTGCGTTCCTTGCAAAATTATTGGGATCGATACGCCTCTTGTGCAAATGATTGGATATTATATGTTTGATATACTCTTCAGTGGTGGATGGTCTTGTACTCAAGTATCACATATGTAATCATCTCAACTTTCGTGTTCGTTTTATATTTACTACAGAATCATTCGATTATTTGGCTAAAATGATAAATGTGTTCTACATTTTCTTGGCCTTCTTTGTTGAAGGGCAATGGTGAATGGCCTTACCCTGGATCAAACAAGCAGAGTGGCATGTGTCAGCTGCCGTAATGCTTTTACAATGGTTGGTACTCTGTTGCACCATTCTATGCATAGCTCTCTTACATGCATTTCATCTCAATATAGACAAAACTAACCTTTTACCTCTTGTCTTGTTACTGTGAACCAATAATTGGGAAGGTCGCAAGCCTAATCGTATATGGAATTGGATTTTTCATCTTCAATTCATCCGTGAAACAAGTTGAAATCAAGGAGCAGGTACATTGAATACCAGGAGTGCTCTTCTATATGCATGAGCACGTGCTTTGCGCTAATGTACTTTACCATTTATGTTTGCAGTACCACTTGTTGGCAACTATCACAGTATTGATCGGATGCTTCTTTGTAATTTTATTTCATCTTGGAACTAAAGAGCCTAGGTTTGTTATCTACTCAGTCCCCTTGTTAATTTGGAAGGCTCGAATGTACTTCATTAATGAGGAAACAAATTACAATGTTAAGCATCTTTTGTGCAGGGTGAAACACGTATCTCACAAGACAAATCCTTGTGGTTCTTCTTGGAAGCGATGGTTGAAAAATGGCCTATATTATAGAGTAGCTAGCATTTATGTGTTAACTAGAGCTGTAACGAATATATCACAGGTAACTATAATTTTCTTCCGGCTTCTTTAAGTTATATGTTATCGATCATTCACATATGTAGTAGTTCTCTGTTCTAAGTTTCTGTTTTGTCTTTGTTATCTCAGGTGTTTCTTGCTCTCTATGTAATTAGTGATCTACACATGAGCCAATCTTCCAAGGCTTTGGTATGATTTGCTATCGAGTTGAATAAAATTGACAACACTTATATCTTCCAATTAACTAATGCTAATCGGGCTGAGTTATTATGTAATAGGTTCCTGCCATCATCTATTTGTGCAGCTTCATTACATCTATCTTGCTCCAGGTTCTCTTTCTCTATGGGGTTGTTCTACATTTGGTCTTCACTTTTTGCCTGTTCCTTGTTTCCATATCCTAATCTATTATACTGGTTGCATGTAGGAACTCCAATGGAGCAGTCACAGGTTGAAGGCCATCTTTTCAGTAGGAGGCTTCCTGTGGCTATTTTGTAGTGCAGTAGTACTCTCCCTACCGATTAACATGAACGTTTTTATGTACATCTTGTCCGTGGTTATTGGAATAGCCAATGCCTTCATGATGGTAAGCTGCAGTTCAATTATTTTGTACCTCAAATTTAACATTGTTGTGTTGGTAATCTTCAAGCTAACTCATCCAAGAAAGTGCACTCAGGCTCCTAATCACGATGTTTCTATTTGCTTTGTGGTTAACAGGTAACTTCAGTAGGCATGGAAAGTGAGCTAGTTGATAAAGAAGTTGAGGGATCTGCTTTCGTTTATGGATCATTAGGCTTTGTGGAGAAAGTATTGTGTGGGGTAATGCTGTACATTCTAGAATCATACGAAAGTAAGCTATATATTTCGTTCACTTCAAACGTCTGCATATCATGAATGAAATTTAAATCTTTGACATGAAAGTCTTCACCCTTATGTAGGTGTAACACCAGCAGCGTGCAATCCAGCATATCCTTGTTTCACAGTAACGCGATTTTCATTGGGATTCATTCCGGGAGTTGCTGCATTAGCTGGAGTCATAGTTACATGTTTTACAAAGTTCAGAACTTCACATCCAGACCCTTTGGCAGAACCTTTGTTGGAATAGTGATAAGCCAAAAGCTCTATTTCTTTGTATTGTAATTGGTGGACCTAAGCAATGGTTATATTTTTTTCCCTTCAAAATTGGATAATGGGTCCGTCCTTCTACCCTTCTCTACTTAAATATCAAACATTTGTCTAGAACAGGATTTGAACTCATGACATGAGCCTAACCCACACATCACGCGCTGGCTATTACCATTAGACCAAAGCCATGGAGGCAAGCAATGGTTATACATTGACAATCAGTGGCGGATCTATGCAGAGGTTTGGACTTCGACGGAAACTCTATATATACATAGGTATATTTATATATAATATTTATATAAATATAAAGCGTGCCACCCACAGAACAAAATTATCTTGTGGTGCCATGGTAGGAGGGCAACTTTAGAAGGCTGATGTTGCGGGGCACAATTTTTATTTTTATTTTTTTATAATTGTTATTGACTTAAATTAAATTATTACTCCTTTGACTTTTCTTTTATTTGATTAAATACTCAATAAAAGTGTAATATCTTATTATTTACATTTTATTGATTGATTTATGATATATATCGAAAAGACAAATAATTTAATCAAATATAAAATTAATTTAATCGATAAGTCTATTTGGCACCCATGGACTCTAAATCCTGGATCCGCCACTGTTGACAATGCCAGACCCACTGCAATATAAATGGCAACAAATCTAGTCCACCATGAGAACATGTGATTGTCATTATATTCGTAAACTTCTTGTTGAAGTCTTTAATATATCAATTGACAAACCTCTTTACAAAAGCAGTGACAAGGGGTCGACATCATCAATTCCTATTATCTAAATTAATTAGTGCAATCACAAAGGAGTTTGTATATAAATAATCTTTTGTTTACTGCCTCTATTCAAAAATAATTGTCCACTATACTTGTTCACTTTATGAAATTGATGAAAAAAGTGGCGTGTACAAAAATGAGCTAATGATCTCCTTTTATAAAAGAAATTTACAACTGCAACCATTCACAATATGACAAAATTGTGCCACCGAAAGTTTTCAATTGTTGTGTTTCTCAACATTTGTTGTCATCTACAAATTTGCCAACCATTAACAATTACATGCCGTAATTGTTGAAAGTCAATATAGGGGGTTGGACTCTACATATAGTACCTATCTATATTGCATCAAAATCTTTGGAGATTAAACCTTGATACGTTCAAACTCCATAATCGTGTCTAGCGTTCAAAATGTTTAAACCCTTTTTGAAGTTTGAATATTTCTTAAAATTTCAAATTCTCGAAACTTTTCAAATTCGAATACATGTACTTCATGAGTTGATAACTTTCTATTTTTCAAAGTTTAGAATTTTCTCCTTTTTACACTTTTACTTGTCAAAGTTTTGAGTATTCTATATTTATTTTAGTTAGAAATATTCATGTACAAATATTATTTTTGGCAAGACCTTATGGCAACGACCTATTGCGTGTTTCTGTAAACTTCTTGTTAGCAAGAGTCTTAAAAGGTTGATAGATACATTTCGAACACTTAATTAATTCTAAGGGTAGCATGGAAAAAAAATATTCTTAGTTTGTTAAAATGGATTAAATATCTATTTTGATGTAGGGACCAAATAAAACGAAACGGATGGATACCATATACAATTAATTGAGAAAACTGAAAAGTATTAAAAGTACTCCTAAACTTGGCGTGAATTATTAGTTTCGTCCCTGAACTATTGATAATTTCTACCTGACTGACTGAACTTAAATACACTCTTGATCTTGCCACATGGGTGAAATACACCGTGAATTCTTGTCAAATTTAGGAGTGTTTTCAACACTTCTCTCGACTTTTTATTAAGAGTCATACGCTCCTACAAGAGTTTGAGACCACTTATTATGTCATGTAGCTGATTGAGAGTATATTTAAGTTGAGTTAGTCCAATAAAAAAATATTTTTAAGATTATCAATAATTTGAAGATGAGATTAACCATTCAAATCAAATTCAAGAATATTTTCTAATACATGTAGTAAATCTGATGAGGAGTTTAAACATAATAATTATAAACCCAATTTGTTGATTGATGACTTGATTGTCATTCCAATTCCATGATATATTTAATTTGTTTGTGGCAATAAGGATAATAATGGTCCAGTTTTAAAAATTGGCAAAGTTACATAAAGATAAATCATTTAATTGAAGCCACTCAATCAACTTTGTCAAAAAAGTTGTGAAGTCCCAATAGTCTTGGATTACGTCTCAGCTACTTAAAATGAATTTGTGGTTCAGACCTTTGCCTTCCAAAGTCCAACTTGCTGTTTTTCTATTATTATTTTTTTCTTGTTTCAATATTCAATGATTAAATTCAAGATCTCTAATTAAGCATGAATGATATCATAATTTTTGGTGGTATCCTTTTTTTTTTGTTTATTCAATTGCACATATCCACGTTAATAAAAATTATTTTAAGGGATTATCATATAAATAGTTAGTCGGATTCATTATTTACTTTTTTTTAGTCAAATATATATATATATATACACACATATATTATACATAAAATTATACGTTCTCTAGCTATTATAAACAACTATTTTGATTAAGTTAATTCTTCTTAGTTTGTTTTTTTAATTGAAAGATTAGTTGATTGTGACTTTAGGAGTAGTGGATGATAAAGATTATGACAAAGTTTCAAATAAGCCAACAATAAGAGATGACACATCATGTATAATTGTTATTTTCACATTAATATTAGCATGTACTTAGGAATCTTTGTTATGTCGGAATCTTAATCCTAAGTCCAATCAAATTCTTCAAGCCCTATATATTTGTTTAGATTCCAGATCGGTAATTATTAGTACATGCGTCATAAGTAATATTTGTTATTTAAATAATATTTTTATCATTAAAAATAATTTAATAATTTCAGAGAAATAAAACGAGATGTATGAAAAGAATAACTCTATTAGTGACAAAAAAAATTATTTTCCTTTTTTATAATTAAGTTCACATAATTAATATATAATGTTATGTGATTTATTAATAATTCTTTATTTTTATTTTTCAACAAGGAGACAAAAAGATAAAGACGTAACGTAAGCACCCTTGAAAAAAAGAAGTTTGATTAGTGATCACTAGATTTAGATTAGGATTCTTTGTGGGACCATAACTCATAAGTTTATTGGCCCAACTTTATAATTGTGGACGTTAAGGGGCCGTTTGGATGTCAAAATGGAAGAATCACCAATAATTGACTAGATCCTTCAGACGTTAAAATCTGATTAATTTGAAGTTGAAATTTTAAAATTTATATTTTTAAGTTATATCTTTTTATTAGATACACAAATATCATATTATGTGAAAATTATCTAAACTTTCTCGATCCTTATACAATTTTCATAATTGTAAATAAATATTTGTAATTACATATTATTACGAACTTCCCGATACACTTAATTTTATAAGGATTCACTAATAAAAAAATAATCAATAATAATAATTACTAGTTATTCTTTAATATAATTTTCTCCCATTATAAAAGTAATATATTCACGAGCATAAGTCTTTTTTTTTTTTTGCAAAATTTAAAATGGCACTTCTTTTTTTTACAAAATAAGACCTTTTAAATTAAATTTTACATTTTTTAAAAATTGAAGTGATAATTTGAAATTGCAATCTTACATTTTGGAAATTTCAAATCATAATTTAAAACTGGAACTAAATTCACATTTTAAAAACATAATTTGAGTTTCAAATCAATTCTACGACCAAGCACCTGATAATAATCACTTTTAAGGAATTATTTTCTATGGTAATACTTTTAAATGTTTATTATGTATGAGGTTATTTTGTCTTGTGATAAAAGTTCCCCAACCAAATTTGTTTAGTTTAATAGTAAATGGTTTGTATGTTACGTTTGAATGAGTTGGTTACATAAAATAGATTATGGTTTCAGTCAAGCCAAACTTATTTTTAAATGTGGGTGCAATTACTATCCTTTGGTATTCAGCTTAATTCAGAAAACAAATTTGTCGCTTTTGCTGATAAGAGATTTCAAACTTGAGGCCTTCAACATGAAGAGTCTTCTATCATGATTTATTTTCATAAAAAAATAAAATAAATTTATATGCATATTATTAGTTATTATCATTGGGTATGTTATTGTTGTTGTTATTATTTTTATTATTATTCTTATTATTATTATTATTATTATTTATTATTTGTATTATGAATCTAAGTTGAAAGTAAAAATTAGTTTAACCCCGTAAGCACTCTAAATTGAACCTTCCACCAGTGGACATGGAAAGTAACATGTAATTTTTACCCAAGGGTGACAAAAAAGACTTGAAATTGTCAAAATGGTTAAAGCCATCGAACTAAGCAGTGAAAGTCATTATAGTTTTGCAAGTCTAATTTGGTGATATTCAATAAAATTGAAATAATATAAAAAAATTAACATGATCCTTATATAAGAACAACACGCACAAATCAAAAAATGCTAAAAAACAATTAGAGGGTGAGGTTGTGGCTAACTGAAGATAAGAATCTTTTTTTCAGAAAAAAAAAAAGAAAAAGAAAAGAATCTTTTCAATATTTTCTAATTTTGAGTTTAGATTCTAATATTCTATTTTCAATTTTTAGCTAATTTCCAAGATACGGCACTTTAAGGAAGCTCCCCACATCAATCGACAAACACAGTGATAAATAATAATGACTCCAATGCACCAAAAACTCCCAATTGCTTAATATCTTCCTAAAATTTTGAAAAAAGATTGAAGGAAAAGGACAAACAAAATTCTCAGAATGTCAGTCAGTGGTGGGAAATGAGAAAAAAAAGATATCATCTTTTATTGCTTTCAGTTTTTGTGAACTGCTATAGGTGAAAGGGAGGTGGCTTTTCAAGGTTTCAATTAGCGGTGGCAGTGAAGGAAGAAGAAAAAAAACAGAAGGGGTTTGCCCTTTTTCTCTTTTGGTGCGTCTAGATCACGCTTAATAACTGTTTCTACTTTCTTGATTGGTTTGTGTTGCAAGAAAGTTTTTTATTTTTTTATTTGCTCTTGAGTTTTGATTGTTGTGGATCCAAGATTAGTTTTTTCTTCTTTATATAAATCATGGGTTTTTCTTCTTCTACATAGCTTCACCCTAAAACCCAGGTATAATTTTTACAATTTTTCTTCTTCAATTTCGTGAAAAATTGTTCTTTTTTTTTGTTTTTCATTTTGTATATATGATTATTTGGGTAATTGATATTGTGTAAGCTTCCTTGTTGTTTCCTTTTGTTTTTTAGGAGGGATTAAGATGAACATGTAAAGAGGTTAGCTTTCTGGTTTTTGGTTGCAGAGTATGGTGATATTTTATTTTTATTTTTTTAAGAGAGAGAGATGGGTTTACTAGTAGGGCTGATTTCTTGATCCCAAGCGTTATCCATAAAGATAAGGCGTTGGGGTAATCTAGTTCATTTATTATGCATCAAATCATGACTAGTATTAGAGGATATTAAAAGCAGTTGGTTAAAAGTTTAAGCAAGTCCTAAGTGAATTTTTATTACTTCAAGAGTGGTCCTTAAGGGAGTACAACTAGTGATTGATACGTATAAGCAAAGTCTAAGCAGAGTATTAATTTAGTCATAATTGCTCTTGTCATGATGGAAGGAAAGGAGAAAATCTATGAATGATGTATGATGCAGTTTTGAAAACGTCAACATCACTTAACAAACAGTTGGGATATCTTGTAATTATTTAAAAGCTGATAGGAGTCTGTTTAAATACTTGTCATTGTTTATTAATAGTCAAGTTTTTAGAGTAAGGTATTTCCTCTAAACATAACTGTTTGTATGAATTCACTATCTGATACCCTTCTTTTGCTGAGACTTGGATCCAACATACTTGTGTCTCCATCATGCATCTATGGTGGTTCAGTTATTTGAAATCTTCACTTGTTGTGTGATCTTAGTTTCTTGGTTATGCTATATTTGGTGTATGTACTGTGTATTGTGCAACCATCAACCTTGAACAAGATGTGTTTAGTATCACTACTTGTGTAAGATTGCAAGATGTAAATCTTTTGTTAGAACTCGAGGTGAGAGTGTTGAATCTACTTTGTATCCTTTCATTACTTCTTTTGTTGGTTTTGTTGTGTGGTTCAATTTTCTCCCTGAATATTGTCTGTGGTTAAGTCAACGTAATTTTGCATCTGAAGCCTCATCTGTTGGATTGCAGGTTTCCCATTCATCGAAGCACCGCCAAAACTTCTATAGCACTATGACTATGATTAATCATAGTGAGGATGATGAATCATTGACAAAACCCCTCGGAAGGTGTTCAGTCTTTTATTACGGCATTGGGCACATGCTCAACGACATAACTTCAGCCTGTTGGTTCACTTATCTCTTAGTCTTTCTAACGGATATTGGATTATCCCCCAGGTTTGTTAATTATTTTCTTGCTGTTAGGTACTCTGATGAGCATGTGTCTTCCAATAATCTATTTAGCATTAAGACAAAAAAGAATAAAACCCCTTCCTGGCTCCTGCATCTTAAAATTATCATGTCCCTCTTTTACTGTATTGTGATGTAGCTCGTCTGCTGATAGCAATCTAACATATAGCCACCTTTTTCACAATTCTTGAGTTAATGCTTACCACAACTTTATGTACTTTAGAGTGTGTTGTGTGAATGTTATGAGTTCAATGGAGTCTACTAGGAGCCTAGCTTCTAATTAGTTAAATAGAAAGACTGGTTTCATTTTTGTATACAATCATAGGGTATATCTGCAGCCAGCTATACTGGGGATACAACACTCAGGATGGGCATATGAAAATTGAACTGAGCACTGCCCTGTTATGCTGCTGTTAGCATGCCGCATCTAACTAACATTGTATAATGACATTTAAAGGGCTCGCTACCGGGTTCTCAGTTCTAATAGTGGAATTTTGTCCTTAATTCACCCCATTCATGTTGGCCACTACTGCACTCTCCCCAATTTGTCAAGCATGTGACTTCTACACTCCTGTGTCCCTAGCGTTTCATTACCCCCCCCCCCCCCCCCCCCCCAAATGTCTAAATAAACTCAAAAGAAAAGGGTATATACTATATAGGATACTGTAGTTTGTGAAGCAATTGATTGTGTATTCATGTATACCATGTCTGTTTCTCAGTGATGCTGCAGTTGTAATGCTCTCAGGTCAAGTTGCAGATGGATTGACTACTATATTTGCTGGGGAACTGGTATCTCTCAAGAACATAACTACTACCTAAACTTTGTCCTTATATCACCTACTGAGTTTAAAGCATCTTTTGTATTTTCCTGGAAAATGGATGAGATGACTTAAGAAAAACATGTTAAGATATTTTAATGTCATTTCCTAAAAGAGATCATGAAGTCGTTGCTAGATGAAAACATGCTCTACCATTTTCACCATTTCTCATCTAAACATATGCTTGTCTGTTATAAAATGTATAGTATTTCTTGTGTGAGTATTCCTTATTTATGCAGTCATTTTCTTAATAATATATTGGTTGGTTAAATGCAATAAGTAATTTTTGACATGAGAACAGCACAGTCTTTTCAAGAGTAATAACAACTACGCCTATATCCCCAGATAGTAGTGCATACCTTTAATTTTTTTAATTATTGAACCTTCTAACTAATATTTGTTGTTCTACCTGATAGATAGACAGATTCGGGCATTTTAAAGTATGGCATATTGCAGGATCTCTCCTGGTTGCTGTCTCATTTTCTTCGGTATTTGGCGGTTGCTTGCCTTGCAAACTTATCGGTTCTGATTCGGCCATGCTGCAAACTATTGGTTACAGTGTGTTCGCTGCAATCTTCAATGTGGGATGGGCTGCTACTCAAGTATCACACATGTAATGTTTGCTCTTATCTATCTTCTTGTTCTAAATATTATAAGACTGCCAGGTTTGCCCATTTACTCCTGAAAACCTTCTTATGGCAGGCTTAATATATTAGTCTACTATTTGGAAGGCAGTTTTCTGTGACTAAGTAAAAGATCTAGATCCATCAATCCTTTATAGAAAAAAACACCAGTTAATTGATGTCCTCCTTCTCCTCCTCAAGTTATAAGCAATAAGAATGCGAATGGCAATCCATGTACTTTCCACCGCAAAAATAGTTATCTTTCTCCATGTTCATCAAAAAGAAATACTCTCCTGTTGCTGCAGTAAACTAATGGCTTGGCCTGAAAAATATAGTATTAGAACTGGACTCCTATGATAGGATGGTAGACAAACCTAAGACAAGGAAGCTAAGTTCGTACGGGGGTTGTATCTGACTGTCACGACGGAGTGACTAACAGGCTCTATGCTAGCAAGCTTCCAAAGAGGTGGTGTATTCACATCTTAGGCAAATCCAACCCACAAAAAGAAAACATCTTAGGCAAATATCACATTGGAAAGGGAGAGAAAAGTAAAGTACTTTATAATACAGAGGATGTGTTCACATGGTAAGTGTACTTTTGAACTCGATATGAATTATCCAAGAGACAGTTGTGAGGCCAGTTGGGCCAAAGTTGACAATGTGTACCATGGACTTGGACTGTGATACTCTATTCCCTGCTTTCATTACATAGCTTCCTGATTGCTATGGATAGTAACCTGTATAGAGCTGGTGAATATAGCTTGCTTCTGGACTTCTATCACAACACCAGTGCTTATCCCCTGTTTTGTGAACTTGGGAAAATGTCTGTCAGTCTATTTATGGTTTCCTCTCAAATAGCGGTGCCGTAAGAACTACATCTGTTCATTCTTTAATACCAAACTTGTATTCCATATCTATCTCCTTTGATCCTCCTCCACCGCCACTCTCTCAAATGTCCGTAAGACCACACATATTCTTCCAACTGAACTAGCTAGAGTGACCATCGCTTTTGCGCACTGAAGCTATGTAGGATCCTGATAATTATCATGAAGTTACCTCCTTCAGACAAGTAATTGCTCTGCTAACATGCTAAACTTTACCTCAAATTTGTAGATCGCTAGTAATTAACTAAATTGTAATAACTTGAGAAGGACAGCTTTAATCTTCTAGAACATGACCCCCCTATGAAATTTTACCAAGCACAACCCGAAGATTAGCTGATAGTTCTTTGTAATTTCTTAACAAGATGTATGCTTCCTGTAGGTCAATGGTGAACTGCATTACACTGAACTCGACAACCAGAGTAGTTTTAGCTAGTTGCCGCAATGCTTTTACAATGGTTGGTGATCTCCTCCATGACTTCATGCAAATTTTCCTTATACATGTGAGCAGTCATTAACTTTTGGTTCGTTCTACATTTGTTTGAACGTGATGAATTTGAAGGTTGCAAACCTTAGCTTATACGCAGTTGCTTTTGTTGTGTTCAATATCGTCGGAGCAGGGACACCTGCTGCTGTTGAAAATCAGGTGTGTGACTTTTTAGTTGTTACTCTATTTATTCTAATACTTTCTTTTGGCTGTGTTCTCATTACTTTTTGAATGATCAGTATCGTTGGATTGCATATATATCAATTTTCATTGGAAGCTGCTTCGTTGTTATGTTTGCTATCGGAACCAGAGAGCCAAGGTATGCACATGTCTTATTTCTCTATTTTTGAGTGAATGCATTGACTGCATTAGTTGCTTGGACTGAATTTTCATGAAAATGCAATTGATTGCTTGGATGAATTGGGGATAAAATCACTTTGTTTGAGAGTTTTGATGGATCTAACCTGTAACCAGCTTAGGCATTCATCAAAGTTGTTCACCTTTTCTTTCTGCATAACAATATAGCTTCATTTGTGTAAAACTCCGATGAAAAATAAAATTCCATCCTGAAGAATAAATTGGGATACATAAGAAAAAAAATGAGAACTATGCTAACTTCGAAATGGGAGATTGCTTTCAAGTACCTTGAGTTGTCAGTTTAAGGGGGTAGGTTTTGATAATTTTCTGCTTAGATGTTCACTCTAATATTTGCCTTTCTTGGGCAGGTTGAAATTAGAAGCTCATGTTAAAGGTTATGTTAGAATTTCTTGGATGTATTGGTTTAAGAAAATTTTATATCACCAAGTTGCTCTTGTTTACGTGCTTACCAGACTTGTGACTAATGTCTCCCAGGTGAGTATTGTTTCTTTTGAATTTAGCTCTTTTCAATAGATATTACAATGATGACATGAATTTCATTTGAATCATTTTTCCTAAGCATTCACTTGGTTTCATAACCAATAAAGTTCTTGTAATTGTTTGCATTGCAGGCATTTCTTGCTTTCTATGTGATCAATGACCTGCAGATGAGTCTATCGTCAAAAGCTTTGGTATCTTTCTGAGCATTGTTTCCATTTAAAATAAAGACATTTTATGTGAAGAGAGGCTAGGGAAGAAATACAATACTAACACTTGTTCCTTCTTTAATTGATGTTGATAGGTCCCTGCAATCATCTTTGTCTGCAGCTTCGTTGTATCCATCCTGCTACAGGTCCATACAGAGCAGAACTTTTTCATCAGTTCTATCTCTGAATTTTCCAGAGCCTCTTTTTTTTTTTTTTTTTTTGCCTGTTCTGTTGCTCTGATAGTTGTATTATATGCAGGAGATTAAGTGGACAAGCCAGCGATTGAAGGGCTTTTATACTGCAGGAGGTCTCCTTTGGGTACTCTGTGGCATAGGAATACTCCTCCTTCCAAGAAACATGAACGCATATATGTATATCTTGTCGATATTCATTGGCATAGCAAATGCCTTGATAATGGTAAGGTTAATGTTCTATGAGCTTAGTTTGATATCAGGTCTTGAAACTTTATCTTAGCAATTTATCCTGTTACAGCATATCTACTTTTCGCATTAAACTTCTAAAGAACACAGATGGGTGGGTGGTCAGCCATAAGGCATCAATTATTTAACTGAGTGAAAAGTTTAAGCTTTGGTTTATTGGTCCATATAGTTTTGGTTATTTCTGCTGACATAGGCTAGAGAGGTGCTCCATACATTGCCTTTATCAACTACTAGATGGTCAATACTTTCTATTTAAGCATGATACAAAACCATTTTGAAACATCTCAGGCTCTCGTTACGTGCAAAATTCACTTATGATAAATATATATGGACCAAATACTCTTTCAAACATTGATGGACTCTCTATGTGGTTAACCTAATTGTCACCTTTTATATGTGGATATAATTATCTCCTTAGAAAGGCAATTTTCCATTTGTTTCTTAATGATATTCTTTTAACAAGGAACTCTATTATTGTGTTTTTTTGCTTAATTTTTGTCACTTATTTGAGTTCTATGAAGCTCCTAACCAACAACGAACTTGTTTAACTGGAGAGTAGGCAATAATATTCTGAACTGTGGAATATGGGTCAGCTACATGCCTTGCAAACATGTATATGGTTTCCTATTATTCCATGAGGAAGCCAGGCTCTTTATTGTGTCATGGAATGGGGGAAATAGTGAAGGAGTGTGATTTATGATACTCAGTTTCATTGTAAAACATGCATTGTGATCATAAATTCTACAATTACAATCTTCATGTGCACCTCTTTCCGATGTGATTTAACAGGTAACTGGAGTGGGCATGCAAAGTGTCTTGGTTGGCCGAGATCTCAATGGCTGTGCCTTTGTGTATGGATCATTGAGCTTTATGGATAAAATGATATGTGGGGTGGCTTTGTTCATTCTTGAGTCGTATCAGAGTAAGTATTTGGTTCCAAAGCTCTCTGTTATCTCAGTCAATGCACAGCTTCAATGCAAATTCATTCTAATTTTTCAACATTCATTGTTGAGCATGTCTGGGGAAAACTAGTGAAATAGCTCCACCTAAATTTCCTTAACGCCTTTTTATCTGCCAATAATTTTTTGCTTCTCCCACTTATTTTCGTATAAACTTCTATCAGAGATCTTTTTACTTTACGATAGACTTGTTACCAGAAAATTTCTGTTAAAAATCTATAGTAAGGTACAAAATTCATTTCCCTTTTCTTAATTAGATTATTTGTAGCTTCCTTTCATCGGAGAAATCTTTATTTACTTTGGCAATTGTCATGTTTTTATGCAGGATCCACTCCGGAACTGCACAACTGCAATCCGAGTTACCATTTCTTCTCCCTCAATCGGTATGCACTAGGTCTCGTTCCAGCAGTTTGTGCACTCCTTGGTGTAATAGTCACCTGCAGTATGAACCTCCAGACACCCATATTGGTGCCACTGGAAGAACCTCTACTGGGTTAACACCTAAATACTGATGATCTTATAATCAAGTCATGTTAAAGAAAGGGATTCAAGCCTTGCTGATAGATGATTTTTTTTCAGCAGACACCAGTTAGTTCAAAGATTAGACAGAACATTTATAACTTCTTTCTGGGCAATTTCAACCAACTTAGGGATTATGTGTACATGTTCTGATCTGTATATGTATAATGATATGAAGAACTATAGTCTGGAAATTAAATTGTCAAAAAATGTACAGAGCTAGAAAGATGTTCTTGCTGTAGAACTCTTGTAACATGATGGTATTTGTTTTCTTATTCTGGCTTAATATTATCTGTGCACTTTCTTTTATTATTTATACTAAGAAAAAAAATGCAGTCATGTGAAAAACTATTCAAGTGACATGTAACCAGAAACTACTTGTAATAATTAATTAATATCTAGCAGAAGATTGACTTTGCATGGAAAGGAAGTGACTGAACCCTGTTGTTTGCTAACAAATTGCAAATGGCACTAAACTTTTGTCATATGTGTAGCTTTCAAGTTCCTATCATTTTTAATGGACAAAGTTAGAAGTGAATAATCTTGAGTAACTAAATATTTTTTAGAAAAATATGTGTCTATTTGAGAGATTTTATTACGTGTTACATACAACTGAAAATAATTGTGTGGGACTAATTTTTGTCTGACAAAAAAACATGAATTCAGATTTTACTTCTTGAGCTACTTTGTTGTGAGTAAGAAAAAAGTCTCACATATCCTTCAACTATGGTAAATGGTATGCAGATATCTTCTGTTATATTTTTGGGACATTAATACCCCTGTCGTCTAAAAACTAGAGCATATATACCCTTTATACTAACGGACATACACATGTCATAATCTTATCCACCGACCCGACATTTATTAAATATCAAATCGACGGATAAGATTGTGCCACGTGTCCCTATTTAGTCTTCCATTAGAGTGAAGGGCATATATGGTCTAGTTTTTGGACGGCAGGGGCACCAATGTCCCAAATGTATGACAGAGGATATCTGCATACCATTTACGATAATTCGGGGGCATATTTATCCTTTTTCCCTAAAAAAAAATCTGCCTTTTTGGGTAGATCCCAAAGATCTTACCATTATGCCAAAAGTTATAGCAAAGACGTAACTTTATTTCTTAACTAAGTCCACCAAGCAAGCGACATGTTCGATCCTGACTCCGACCCGATCCACCCAACCCTTCGTGGGCCTTGACATAGGCAGGATGTTGACATTACTCAACAATCCCCCTCCCAACACCTGCCCATGACCTTGACTTTGATACCACTTGTTAGAATCAACCGCTTACCATCATGCCAAAAGTTATAGCTGATAGCAAAGACGCAACTTTATTTCTTAACTAAGTCCACCAAGCAAATACCATGTTCGATAATGACCAGATCCAGGCCACCCAGCCCCTCGCGGGCCTTGTCATAGGCAGGATGTTGACATTACTTAACAAATATGTGTGGATAAAATAAGTTAAGCAATGTCCCGATATATATAATACAAAATATAAATAAATTCTCACATCAAAGACAAATATTTGTAAAGAAATTAGCTCCACCGCATCAATCCCTTATTGTAGTGCAAAATAGGTCTGTTGCATCATGGATGAATTAGAGTAAAAAAGCTAATCCAAGAGCGCCAAATTTGGGTTGATAGCTAAAGAATATCCTAACACGTTATATTGATAAATCATACATATATATATATTTTTTTTATATTTTTTTTTTTATATAAATATATATTTGTAATTAGAAATTTTCAAATATATATAACTTTATAAAGATCCACTAGTCAATATAGTAGTTATGGTACGGACAAACTCTTTACTCCGATCATGAGTCCTTTCTTTTGTAAAATTAAAGTGATGAGTTTTTTTTCTTTACAAAATATAAGCTTATGGGTTAAGTTTTAAATTTTAAAAATAATTAAAAATTTTGATTTGAACTTTGAAGTTTCACATCTTGCTTTTTGAAAAATTTGGAATAGCATGTCTAAACGCCTATGGAGTGGACAAAATTGCATATTCAAACACCTACGAAGTGGACAAGATTGCATGTCCAAACACCTAAGGAGTAAAAAAGTAAAAGTGAACCGATGGAGCATTTCCTCAAGGTGAAATTATATTAGATCATATATAGAAAGCAAATAAATGTAATACAACTATAACAATAACAACAAATAACTAAAAAAATGTTTTAATTTTAATGAACAAAGTTATTTGATATTTGTTGCTTATAAATAACATTGATAACAATAATAAATAATGATCTACATTGTCGAGTTTTTTCATTCGTAGTTGGAAAAAAAAAGTGAATGAAATCAAGAGACTCACTTTTTTTTATAGTATATATGCAAAAATATCAAGAATTGTTGTGATAAAGTAATGATAGGATAATTCACTAATTCGATATCAATTATGTATAAAGAGATTCTAACCATAAATTTTATCTTATTTTTATATTTGTTGAGCAAAAAAGCATCGTTAGCAAACTGCAAAATCTAAATAGTCTTTATAGTCCAATTCATTAATTATTATTCTACTATATATTATATATTTTAAATTTTGTTATTTTAACTATATTATAAAGATTGATACACGAAGAAAATACTAATTCAATTATGATTATATTTGAATAAAGTCAAGAATATTTAAAAAGGACAAAAAAAATGACTTTTATTTTGTAGTCGATATCATGATGTTGGTCTTGTAATTTTCAATATAGGTCATACATAAATTAACTAGAAAATTTATCAGTGTAAGATCATAACTTAATTAACACACATTTTAACAATATTAAATAGATAATATCTGATTTATATTTGGTGCAATTTTAATTATTCGCCGTTTTTCTCATAATTTGCGCTCACTTTAATCATATTAGATAAATTGATATCGCAAAATAATCAACAATTAGAAGTGTATATTACAAAATCAATTTTTTACTTATTGTGTATACAAATTGAAGTCATGTCAATTATGTATTAGGCCCAAAAATATCACGCAACACTTTTTATGTCAATTCTAATCATGTTCAATTCTAGTTGGGATTTTATAAAAAGAATTTGATTCCCGTTAGAATTTTTGGAGGCTATTCCGCAAATTCATGGAATATTTATTGAGCAACTTTCACATAGAGCAAACACAAAATTCATATTTGTATGTTATAGCAAAGTTTGCATAATTGCGCTCCATAGCAAACATAAATATGTATATTTCGCTATACATATACAAAGAAAGCAGATGTATAATCTGATTTGGTATACATACACAAAAAGATCAATTGTATAAAGTGAGAGAGACGAGTGAGCGAGTGAGCGAGCGAGCGAGATCTGGGAGAGTGGCGAGCGAGATCTGGGAGAGGGGAACGAAAATATATGTATATATACAATTTTCACGCATTTTATACATTTGCGTTTTTGTATAAAGTGAGAGAGGTGAGTGAGAGAGCGAGATCTAGGGGAGTGGCGAGCGAGATCTGGGAGAGGGGAGAGAGGGGAACGAAAATATATGTATATATACAATTTTCTCTTGCTTTATACAAACACAAACGCATTTTATACAATTTGCGTTTTTGTATAAAGTGAGAGAGGCGAGATCTGAGAGAGTGGCGAGTGAGATCTGGGAGAGGTGAGAGAGGGGAACGAAAAATATGTATATATACAATTTTCTCTCGCTTTATTCAAACACAAACGCACTTTATACACTTGCGTTTGTATAAAAAACGAGAGAGGGAAGGGAGAGAACGAGAGTGGCGAGCGAGATTCAATAGGAGAGAGGTGAAATAACAACAGTTTGCTATGAGGTACAATTAAATCAAACTATATTTATAGAATTTAATTTGAATTAATAGTTTGCTATTATATACAATTTTCCCATATTTATATAAATGTCAACTCTAAATCATCTTAGTTTGAGAAATACGCTCGAATCATGAATAAATTGTATGGGAGAAGAATCAAGGGAGGAACAAAATTGAATTCGCACTATTATCAATTAAATATTCACGTTCTTCATATGTTATTTGTGTGGTTAATTTATTCTCCATATGTTTAAAATTTGTTGCAAACACATAGTTTTGAGCATATGTAATCACTTTTCATTTAACATATTTGAATTTCACATGAAGAAAAACTATAACAATATAAGTAAAATAGTTCAAATTTATCGAAAAGATTGCTTCAAACTACCTTCTACGACTTCACTCTTTTTCATAGATTAATACTATAATAAACTTAATATTCATTAAACAAAAATGCTTATTTTGGAGACTTAAAAGTGTTTTGTCAAGTTTATGGAAAAAAAATAAATATTTTACTTAGTAAAATGAGTTAGTATTTTCCATAATATGAAGCTAAAGAAAGTAATTTTTGAATAGCAAAAACAAAACTTGTTTAATTTTAGAATAAAAATTACATTTGACTAGAAATTATATTTACCTAATTATCTCTAGACAAAACAAAACCTAACATCACGTGTATTATCAGTCTAGCATCAACACATGTATAAGCAACGTCTAATAAATCTATCTAATTTCTCTATTTGTGAGATTTAATTAAAAGAAATTAAAATCCTTAATTAATGTTTGGCGAAGTAAATATTTCTATTCAATATATACTTAAAATAGTAAGATATTAAAGCTAATCTTTATATATATATTTTCTTAATTTGACATTTGATATAACCTTCGAAATAACATAAGTCGAATTATTTTAAATTACATTTACTTTATATTATTACCTAATATGAAATATTACTACACCTATAATTGAGCGAAAAAATAATTGAATTAATTATATAAAAGTTTTTCCTTGAAGCTCCTTTCCACCTCAAATAATCTGTTGTTTTCTTCTGTTTCTCCATTTTTTTCAAAGTATTGTTTTGTTACTTTTTTTTATATTCTCTATATATCTAGGACTCAGTAGCAGATCGAAATTTTCAAAGAAAATGAATTAAATATTCGTTTTTTTTTTACGTAGTCGATAAAGAGTAGATCGACAAATTTCGAGGGCTTTCTCTTGCATTTTCTCTTCTTCTTCTTCTTCTTCTTGCCCAGAAGAACAAAAATACATAAAAAGCAAAGGGCTTTTGTGGGTTGGTGTCAAAAAAAATTTCAGAAATTTATTCAAGATTATATATTGGGAAAAAGGAAAATTGATTCTTGAAGTTGAAATTTTTTAGTTTGAAGATTAGTTGTACGAAATGAGTTCAGATCTGATAGCTAACACACATGGTAACCTGGATGAGCAGATTTCTCAGCTTATGCAGTGCAAACCTCTATCTGAGCCTGAGGTCTTTACTTCTCTTTTTTTTCT